TTTCTTTCTTAAACGTAGAAAGACAAGATAATTAAATAAGAAAAACGCTGTTAGCACAGTTTTTACAGAATTAAACTATGAAACATAAATTGCCTAGTTTGGATGTAATTGAAGGAAAGTGACACTCCCAGCCTCATCCGCTGACAAAGTTGTTTGCTCTTAGTGCAATTCTGACATGTTGTCATTAATATTAATATTACTTTTTTTCTATTTCTTCCTTTAAAATAAGTAATTAAATCACTATAGCAAATCTATGACATACGACAAATTGGAAATATATTTAAGATTATACTACTATTCACAGAATAAGTTTTCTCAAAAGTCTTTCATCATAAGAAATGCATCAAATATATATAAATAAAAAATTATAACATCATGGAGGACAATACAGTATATACATTTTAACAATTTGCATCAATGTCAAACACAATCATTGCTAGCTCTCTTATATTACTAGGAGACCCAAAGCTGGGCAACTCACCTCAATTTTTGAGTTGAAAAAACATTGAGGATGTGTGTGGGTGTTAGTAATCTAGTGATTATCCGCACACACCCTATTTTCAAATTTTTACATATATTAGATTTCTACCTTCTCAACCTCTTATCTTTTTACTTATGCAAACCAAAATATATTACTAAAAGAATATTGATTGTACATTTTTGTCGCTCTCTCTTTGTATTATTATTAATTTTTAAACAGAATAGAATTGTTACAAATAGCAATGCTTATTCATAACTGATAAGCTCCTTGAGCAAGGACAAAACTGTAACGTAAACTAGAGTTGTATTGCTTCTAAGTGATATCAAACTTATGACAATCAATATATGTTTGATTTATTGCACTATATTTTATTTAATAAATAAAACTCCTCAAATACGTTACTTATCAATGGTCTCCTTATATATTTTAAGATTATTGACTGAAAAAAAAAGAATGAAGGTTCTACAATATGAAAGAAGAACAATGTAATACATTGAAAGAATAAGAAGAACGAAGGTTTATCGTATTTAAGTTTAATATGATTACCTTGAGAGAATAAAAAGAATGAACGTTTATCATGAACGAGCTCAATATTATCATATTGAAAGAATAAAGAGAACGAACAAATGTTTAAGGACAATCGAGTATACGATAAGTATGTCCTTTATCTATCTATAAGTGATGGATAAGAATAAATCTTTAATACACCATTTATAAGAGATAAATGGATAGTGTAAAACTTTCTTCATACTTATCGGCACAGAAACGTTGTAGGATGCTTACAATTTCTATCTCTATTGATACGATAGATAAATCTTCCATTAACCGTATTCCGCCAACGCAACCACTATTTTTCTTGTTCTTTTGAGTTTCAATAATGAGATAAATAACGAATTGTGATATTTCGTCACCGATAATAGGTAGTTATTAGTTGATTGCAATTACATGTGGATCGTGTTTAATAATGTAGATAAAAGCCAGATCCATTTCGTAACGGAAAAGAGATGCAATAAGCTTCTGGTCGATGTACATAAGTTATGAAAGGAGAAATGGTGTGAATTGTTCGGATAACATTAAAACGTAATATTTTATTGAATAATAATAATAAGTGACACTAAATGTATATGGTTGACGCAGCATGAATACATGAATATACATTATATTCTGTTGGTATACATATAACTTCCTTAGTGGAAGGTTAAGGTTCAGACTCTATTCCGTCTTCAAGTCTCAATTTAGATTGACTACTAATAACGTTAGACTTCGTATTTCTATAATACGTGTTACTCTAACTCGACACAAATATCAACTCACTATTCTCCTAGTGTATCGTAGAGGTAAAAAGAAAAAAAAGACAAGTCAAGGAGAGAGAAAATATATCAAGAGGAACGAAAGAAGAAATAGGAAGAAGGGGACAAAAAGATCACATGTTAGTGAAATAGACAAAAGGGGTGTCATTTAAAAGGATATCCGTCATTTCTTTCGGTACAGTAGCCACATAATGCAGTGACCAAATCGTGCTATATAGTATATCAGATGGAATTTGTCAATGGCTATGCAAATCATTATTTTCTTGTTTTCAATAAATTATTTTTAACATATTAGTGTCATAAAACGAAATATGCGTTAAAATATTGTTCCCCACAATATGTATTATGTTTTCTTATAAATCGATTTTATTGATTTATCTATTCTAGATTTAATCTTTATATAACAATTAAAGTAAGTATCATCTTTTGTTTTCTTTCGTTTTATTTGCTCACTGAATAAGTAATTGTTCGATATGTAACGATTTAAATAGACGTGGATTTTCATTTACATTTTATTTCGTTTATGTATGTTAAACCTGGTCATTTTTCAACAATTTAAATGAATATTATTCTTTATTTTAATTTAATTGAAAACCTATGTGAGTATAATCTTTTTTATTTCTGGTTTGATTGCATTTTAATTATCGAATGTCCCATAACCTCTGAGTATCTCAGTTATTTTATTATTCATGTTATTATAAGATATTTTTAAATAAGATCATGCTTCGAATTCTCTATAGAATCATATATAATTAAGACGACAACTTAAGAGAAAAGAAAACGATAAAAAGCCACAAGGTTATTGCAATAAAAGTCCATAGTTTATATATCATGTTGGGGGTCTGGGTGTGAATGTAACTCCCTTTCTTGTTAAATTCTCACACTCACACCTACATCCACACCCTCAAGGTTAAGTAATAGTTTCAATTTATGAGTAGAATGCTTTTGAATAAATAGAATTAAGTTTGTAAGTTAATTTCAACACGCCAATAAAACGCTCACACTGGCGCCTCCTTCATTTGTGGCAATAATGTCGGGTTTGTTGTCATTATTGACATCGACCACCAACAAATCTCGTGGATTGTCGTCAGTAGAATAAGCTGCTTGTGTAGTAAATGTACCGTTACCTATGTTGAGGAGAACGCCCACATCGTTACTGTAATAGTTCACAACAATAATATCGGGTTTGCCGTCATTATTGACGTCAGTCACTGCCACATTTAGCGGATGGGATCCAGTTGAGTACGTTGTTTGTGCAGTAAACGTGCCATTACCTGTGTTGAGAAGAACACCGACGTTGCTATCACCAGAGTTTGTAATAATAATGTCTGGGTTACTGTCGCTATTAACATCCGCTACTGCCACCCCGTACGGACCACTGCCAGTTATGTAAGTTGTTTGTTCACTAAATGTGCCGTTGCCTATGTTGAATAAAACACTGACGTAGTCACTATAATAATTTGGAGCAATAATGTCCGGTTTGTTGTCGTTATTAACATCGACTACTACCACATCGAACGGAGTGCGGCCAGTTGAATAAGTTGTTTGTGCAGCAAATATACCGTTGCCAATGTTGAGAAAAACACCGACATTGTTACTTTCAGAGTTCGGAACAATAATATCGGATTTATTGTCGTTATTGACATCATTTATTACCACACTGTATGGATGGGCGCCAGTAGAGTAAGTTGTCTGTTCAGTAAATGTATCGTTGCCGATGTTAAGAAGAACACCGACATTGTTATGATGAACGTTTGAGACAATAATATCGAGTTTACTGTCGTTATTGGCATCGACTACTGCCACACTGTTTGACCATGTGCCAATTGAATAAGGTGTTTTTGCAGTAAATGTACCGTTGCCGATGTTGAGCAAAACACTGATAGTGAGGCTCCCAACGTTTGCGACAACAATGTCGAGTTTATTGTCGTTATTAACATCAACCACTGTCAAACCGAACGGTCCCGAGTCAGTTGAGTAAGTTGTCTGTGCCATAAATGTTGTATTGCATTGAACTATTGCAAATAAAAATTATTTTTTAGCATATGTGCGAAGATACATAGATAACGTCTCATTGATGCCTTTTAAGAGTGTGGATGTGGATGGGTTTAGATGAAGAAAAGATGAATCTAGACTCGCACCCACGCTCAAGTCAAAACTTTTCGATGTCTTTACTTGGAGTAATTATCCTTTGAGCAACTACTAATCATTTAACAAATTACTTACGCGGTACTGCTGTTGTTGATATTGTTGATATTGTGTTTGATGTTGTTGTTGGCGTTGATGTTGTTGTCGATGTTGTTGTCGATGTTGTTGTTGATGTTGTTGTTGGTGTTGATGT